GGCATTGACTTTGACCCTGACACCTACAATCCCTATATATCCCTTAATGCCTTAGAAGGAGTCATTGGCCTAAACACATTGCGGGTCACAGGTAGGGTCGAAAAATAGCCTTTATTTATCTTGATAGATTCTGGTAATACATATAATTTCATCAACAATCACGTAGCAGACAGATTGCATTGTAATCTTACAAACATTAAGGCTATAACAGTGCAGGTAGCTAATAGTGGAACCAAGACTTGCACTTCTGTGTGTAGCAACTTCCAATGGTCTATTCAGGAAGTTGATTTTATGACTTATATATTTACCTTGGATCTAAAAAATTATGATATGATTTTAGGCATTCAATGGCTGGCCACATTAAAAACCATCATATGCAACTATATAGAAATATGAATGGCATTTTGGTAGTAAGGTTAAGAGGTTTTTATCAAGGGAAATGATCCAGTGACCATGAAAACTATCAGACTAAAGCAACTTAATGGTTTGTTATGTAACACCAGTCTAGTTTCTCAAATTAATCTGTGCAACGTACGCTCTATTAATAGTCAAGAATAGGAGGAAAATTCAACATCCACTGGGTTACAACCTGACCTTGCTAAAAATACAGCTTTCACAAATCTGCAGGCAGAATACCAGGAGCTATTTGAAGAACCAAAGGGCTTGCCTCCTCCCCGCAACCATGATCACATTATACCTCTCAAGGAAGGCTCTAATCCAGTCAATCTCAGACCCTATCAACACTTCAGTCTATAAAAGGATGTGGTAGAACATATGGTTAAAGAAATCCTAGGCTTAGGAACCATTCAACATAGCCGTAGCCTTTTTTCTTCACTAGTCATCCTAGTCAAGAAGAAAGACAAATTATGGAGATTATGCATTGACTATAGGGCATTAAACAAACTTACAATCAAAGATAAGTTCCCTATTCCCTTAATAGATGAAATCTTAGAAGAATTGGTGGGTGCCTCAATTTTTTCTAAGATTGATCTCTGATCTGGCTCCTTAAGACACCTATAAGACTGCATTCAAAAAGCATAATGGACACTATAAATTCTTGGTCATTCCTTTTGGCTTGACTAACACCCCTGCTATATTTCAAAGTCTAATGAATGAATTATTTCAAGGCCAACTGAGGGAGTTTATTTTTATTTTTTTATAACATTCTTATTTACAGTAACTCCATGATAGAGCACCTAAGCCATCTCAAGACTGCTTCACGATCCTACAGACTAACCTACTGTATGCCAAGTATAGCAAGTGTGTTTTTTGTAGTAAGTTGAGTATCTAGGCCATGTTATATCGGTAGCAAGGGTGTCGACTAATCCCCATAAGATCAAGGCCATCCTTGATTGGCCTCTCCTATGTAACATTAAACAACTACGGGGTTTTTTAGGTCTCACTGGATAGTACAAGAGATTTGTTAAGGGTTGTGGTATCATTTGCAAACCCTTAACCTAGTTGCTAAAGAAGGATGCCTACAGATGGAATGAGGAAGCCACCTCAACCTTCAATCAACTGAAACATGTGATGACTTAACCTCCATTACTGGCGTTGCTAGATTTGACTAAACAGTTCATCATCGAGATAGATGCTAGCAGTAGTGGAATGAGGGCAGTTCTTATATAAGAAAGCCACCCGATTGCATTCATTAGCAAATCATTTAGGGTTAAATAATAAGCACTTTCCACCTATAAAAAGGAACTATTTGTTATTCTACTGGCAGTTACTAAATGGTGACACTACTTATGGGGTAGACATTTTGTTATACGTACTTATCATCTTAGTCTCAAATATCTATTGTAACAGAAGGTGACTTACCCATCACAACATGTGTGGCTTGCCAAACTCCTTGGGTTTGACTATAAGATTGAGTTAAAAAAAAGGAACGACAATGTGGTTGCTGATGCCCTCTCAAGGGTGTCCTATAAAGCTCTAAGTACCCTTGCAGTCTCTTCTCTTTCTACTACACTCTTAGAAGACATCAAGTAATCTTGGCATACTGATAAGGATGTGCAGACTTTTATTTAGGAATTAAACCTATAGCCTAACTCTCATCCTCACTACTCTTAGGCTAACTAGTTCCTATACAAGAAAGGTAAGTTTATGGTAGGCCAACATGGACCTTTTCAAACACAAATTATTTTTTTGTATCATGACTCAGCTGTAGGAGGCCAGTCAGGCACTACTATCACAATAAAAAGGGTGGCTAATGGGTTTTATTGGAAAGGCCAGCAAAAACATGTTAAACAATACATCAGGGAATGCCTCATTTACTAATAAAACAAGTCTAAAAACACACGCACTCCTAGGTTACTATAACCCCTCCCTATACCTATAGCTTTTTTCATTGATATTAGTATGGATTTTGTGGAGGGGCTCCCTAAATCTGAAGGGCGGCAGGTTATACTTGTGGTTGTGGATAAATTTAGTAAATATACACACTTCATGACTATTCCACGCCCTTATACTGCTTGTTCTGTGGCCCGAGTGTTTCTAGACAATGTCTACAAATTGCATGGGTTCCCGACCACTATTGTTAGTGATAGGGACATTGTCTTTCTCAATCTCTTTTGGAAAGAGCTCTTTACTAGACAAGACGTTAACTTTTACTATTCCACAGCCTACCACCCCTAATCAAATGGCTAGATAGAGGTGGTTAATAAGTTTCTTGAAAACTACCTGCGTTGCATGACAAGTACTTTACCAACACAATGGGTTCAGTGGCTTCCCCTAGCCGAAATGGTGGTAGAACACCAACTACCATAGGGTCACCAAATTCACCCTTTTACCCACCCCCTTTACACATTCCCTACTTCCCAAAAGACTCACCTATCAACACTGTAGATAATTTCTTATGTAAAAGGAATCAAATTCTACATGCAATCAAGAAAAAGCTAAAGAATACAAGGCATAAAATGATTCAACTTGCCAACAAACACAGAAGTGAAAGAGAATTTGCTATTGGTGATCTAGTCTATCTCAAATTACAACCATACAGACATAAAACCCTAGGCCACAGACATTCTAAAAAATTAGCTTCAAAATACTACAGTCCATATGAAGTTAGTAAAAATTGATATTGTGGCCTATAAATTGAAGTTACCCATCTTTACATCCACCCATCTTGTGTTTCATATGTCCCTATTAGGGGTGTTCAAAAAAATCGATAAACTGAGTAAATTGAGAAAACCAAACCGAGAAAATACTCGATCAAACCGATTAGAATATTTAGAAAAAAATTTGGTTCGGTTCGGTTTTTGATTTTATAATGCAGAAACTGATTAACCCGGACCTAACCGAACCGAACCGGTTAAAAAAAAGGTCCCTAACCACCACTGGTATAAATAGAAACTTTCCCCCTCTTGCCTAACCCTAACAAACTAACAAAGCACCCATCGTCCCACCCCCTCTCCCTCTCCCTCTCTGCTAACCTTAACCAGAGCACCCGCCCCAGTACTAGAGGCTCTCCCTCTCGCCTCTCTAAAATATTTTAGCTTATCGGACAAGTTCTTAAGAGAACTCAGACAAGTTCTCTCATTCAATATGACTACATCACAGAAGCATCAATGGGTAGGTATCAATTTCCTCTCCTCTCTTTTTATTTTTGGGTGATGGGTTTTTGTTGATGAGGTGATTAGTCGTGTTTTATTTCAGTTTTCAAGGATTTTTTATGTGGGGTCTGTGTGTTTCTTATTTACCTTGTAATTGATCATGGTTTTTCTTCAAGAAACCAACTTCTGGTTTTATTGGCTAGTTTTGTTCTCATAGTTTTTTTGCCTTTTCCTCTTCAAATTTTTTAATTTCTACAAAGGTCAACATGAGCTTTTCAAATGACATAGATGATGAATATGAGAAACTCTTTAGGAGATTGAATCCACCTAGGTATGTATTATGCAGATTCGTCATCTTCTTTTTTTAATCTGAGTATTATGGCAAAGTTGAGGTTTCATTCAATGCTAAAGTTTCAACATGTTAGATTTTAAAGTGAAAACAGATTTACATCCATTTTGTTTAGTTTTTTTTCTCCCTTTTTGTATGTCAGGGTTGTGATTGATAATGAAGCTTGCAAGAATGCTACTATCATAAGGGTAAGAGTTTTGGTTTCCTTTTTTAGTGGGTGTGTGCTCTTCAGTCTTGACCATCATTCTTGTTGTTTTTTTGGTACTAAATATTTCATTGTGTTACAGGTTCATAGTGTTAAAACATGGAACACTTCTCTGTGGGATTTTAATTCATGTCCAGATTTTAATTTATATTAAAAGTTAGCCAATTCATATTAAAAGTCAGCCATGTATAAAAGAGAAACAGAGTTGTGTTGTTGCTGAAAAACTACGCAGGATGTAAATTTTTAAAAGTTGAACATCAGTTTGCTTTGAATTTTAAAGCTTAATTTAATGTAAGGCTAAGCCATTTTAAAAAAAAAAAAAAAAAAAAAACTCATATGATGGGATTAGGTTTCCCGGTTTTTTTACTAAAAACCAGATTTAACCGAACCAGACTGGTTCGTTTTGAACAGATTTCTGATCCAGTTTGGTTAATTTTTTACAAGCAGATAATAATTTGGTTCGGTTGGTTTTTTTAGTCTAAACCAAGCCGAACAGAACCAAACCATGAACACCCCTAGTCTCTATTGAAGAAGAAAGTGCACACCACATTGCCTACTCTACCCTCTGAACCTCTTCTCCTTCCACGAGCTATTTTGGATCGCCAGATGGTTAAGAAGAATCTACAAGCAGCCACCCAACTCCTCATTCATTGGATAGGTCTTACACTTGTAGAAGCCACTTAGGAGTTTGCTGATAAGCTAGCCCTCTGTTTTTTATAATTCGACCTTAAGGACAAGGTCCATTTAAAGGAAGGGCAATTATTACAGGACAACAACTAATTAATGGGTTCACAAGGGGGAAATTCAAATTAAGGGAAGCAATTGATAGACGATGTGTTTTAGAGTTAGTCATTAAGTCCAAAACAGTGCATTTTATAAAGTTTATAATTATGTTATAAGTCACATGGAAAGGAAAGAAATCACGAGCTAGTTGTTAGGCTCCCTTATATATATAATAGTATTTTGTTGCAACAGATGCATGCATGCAATAATATTGAACCGATTCCTTTTCTTTCGGTAATTCTTCCCTTACATCTTCTTTGTGTTTTCACCTGCTTCTTCTTCTTTTCTTCTTCTTCTTCTTCTTCTTCATCTGCTTCTTCTACTCTGTCTTTTGACAACCAAGTTAATTACTTCAGGTCTCCTTGTCCTAGGAGGAATTCCTTAAGCTTTTTGCAGATTTGGATGGAAAAGCACCTGTTCTTGTTTTGTCATCTAAAAGTTCTCCAAAGAGGTCAAAAATAGGAATGTGAGCACCCAAAGGAAATGAAGGAGTTAGTAAATTTGTTGAGCTTCCTGGTGCTCTCTTAACAAAGGAAGATTATCCCATTATAATTGCAGGTGGGCTTTACCAATTTTTGTGGGAAATTTTTGAATTTGACATTTGATATAGAAAGGTTGTCAATCTTGATTCCATTTATGAATACAAATAGAAGAATTTAACACTCTGTTTGTTCATCTCTAACATGCTATTATTTTATCAAACCAACCATTAAGACAATCAGGGAGCGAGAACATTTGTATACACTTCTATTCAATACAGAAATTAATCAGCCACTAGTTATAAAACAAAGAAAGTATGTGAGAATCGGAGACACTATGGTTCCACTCATTCTTCCCAAATGTCCCGTGAAATGCTTCACTTGCCTCAGAAAAAAAAGAGACAGATATATACAAGAATGGTAACAATTCCTGGTTGTAAATACATGTTCTCGCTGTTGTGTGCACAGAAAAACTCGCAAAGGAAATGCAGTGTACTTCAAGTAGGAAGTGGTGAAATCTGAACTTGATCTTCGAACACCTATTTAATGGATCAAATTGTTGAAAAGAACCCTTTTTACTATGCTCTAAAGCAGTTGCTTCATAAATCCCTATAGCATGTAACAAAAACAAGAAGACTAAAGGTGTTTATTTATACCCATGTTCATGCCAATATGCTAGTGTTTGTTTTTGTATTATATTTACGTTCTAATAGTTTGGTGAATGATAATATAATTTTAAATGACATGCCTATCCTTTTCTTCTTCTACTCTGTATTTTTAGGGAAATAATAAGCTTCTCGAATATAAGACATCTATAACCTATCAAAATCTTTTACATATTCTAATTGCCTTATCCACTAGTCTAACCATAAATAAAAAAAAATAAAGGATTTGTCTCTCTATTGTTGACTGGTTAACTTATTTATTTAGAAATCACTAGGAACTTCCACAAATATTGCATGAAGCAACATGATGAAAGACTTTCAGACATACCAAAGCCCAAAATCAAGGAGTATATGATGAAGCCTAGAAGAGAAAAATCCATGTTGTAGACAATCTCCATGATAATGAAGCATCCTCCAGCTACCATTAGATGCCTTGGTGAAGAGAAAACCATATGCAGTCTGCAGATAAATAAAGTTGTTTCCATCATTTATCAAACCTAACAAACTTTTTTGATTACAAGAGTGCTATAAATGTAGTCAGACTTGTAACTTACATTTGCTTTTAATTAACCAACATCTATAGAACTGTTTCATTTAGGAAATTAAAAACATCCATGTAATTCTAGAATTAAAAACAAAAGACAAGAAATGCCATTAAAGAAATCACAGAGCCCATAGTATCTAGTCAAAAAACAAGTCTAAGTATGATAGTTAAAATATATCTAATATTTTTAACACAATGGAACCATTTTGTACACCATGGTAGTGCCATAAATAGTCCTCTTGATTGATGCATATAGGCCTCTAGACTAGTATAAGCAACTATGAAATAAATAAAGTGGTTGGTTCATCTTCATGGACCTCAAGAAAATGAGAACCAGCTTAAAATCTTATAACAAAAATACTAGTAGTGTATTTAGATAGCGCATCCCTCCAAAGGAACTTTATAATTATGCTAAAGTTTAATTAGCTAGCCATTACATGCTTTGAAATTTATTTTTACAAACAATTAATTCAACAAAAGTTAGTCTAAACAAGAGTAAAATGAAAGGCTCTGCATCAATTCAGCAGCGATCCAGAAAAAAATGGCACCTCTTCTCTACAATGTTGTCAACATAGAATATCAGGATAACTCCAAAAACAATAGTGCTAAAAAATGCCTAGGCTGAAAATGGCAGTTCTACACTGCTGCTAGAAGTTGATCCCTGAAATACTCAAAAATTAATTAAAAATTTTTTTCAATCAAGCCAAAGCTCCATGGGGATTTAAATAAAAATAATAATTTCCAAATCTTGATCTAGGAAAATTTAACATGGGGCTAAACATTTATATATTAGTAACTTACGATGATAAAGTCCTACATGACCACTAGAAATAGAAAACATGTTGAATAAGTAATGGTTATTGTGTTAAGCCTCCTTTTAAGTTGATTTTGACAACAAGCCACAATTGATATTAGAGTTTCATACAATGCCCAGAGAAAAAGGCAAATAGCTAATTAAGAGAATAATGGTCGGCACTGCTTTTATTTTGCTGACAGGGTACCAAACAATAATGTAAATGGATGAATATCAACTCCTAGAGTGAAACATGCCAAGCAATAACCCTTTTTAAAGCTGATAAGATTCCGACAAGCATTAGAACTACCATTTATCCCATACCTAGAACTACCTCTGTCTCATCCTAAGTAGCTGGACCATCTTTGAATGGTATTTCCCGTTAAGTCAAAACAAGCTTAAAAAATTCTATGAGAATTTGCAACAAGAATATAAGGCAAAAATATAAAGACATGAGATAAAAAGCCTAAATAAGGAAACACTAAGAAATTAATCATGCAATTAAAAAGTCCAACCTTGCCATCAAGAAGGACAAGTGTTAGCCTTGAAATCAAGGAACACCAAGAAATTAACTTGATGTGAACCTCGTGATCATATGGTCATGCAATTCATAATGAGAATGAAAACCACTCTAAGAAAGCTAAAGAAACCCCGACCTATAAGTAACTATGTACCTAAGAATCCAAAGTATATGAATGGCATCATGAAGCCATTTAATCTTTAATAAGTTAATGTATGATCTTTGTCCCTATAAAAACAGGTTGTTTGTAACACGTAAGGTAAAGGAAAAATCATGATTATTCAAATCACCATCATAGTTTTCAAAACTTGTAGTTATAAAAGCACATATATAACTATATATAACTATATATAACTATAATAAACCTCTTTTAAGTTGTAAGCCATGATGTCTTATCTAGTAATCAACTAACAAAATTTTAATACTAAAACAAATCATAAAACAATGTCTAATGGGCTAAAACAAACCTATTTTAGAATAAAACCTAAAGCTAATAATATTAAAAACTAAAATAAATAATAATAAAATTATAATCAAAGTTTTCTTGCTTGAAATCCTCATGCATGGCTTAAACTCCCTCTTTGCTTTATTTAAAAGGTGTATCGAAACTTCATGCTTTAAATTAACTAGGAAATTTTGTTTTTAATTGCTAGAATTTTCTCTCATAAATTGTCTCTCCTTAATCTCCTTGATATGCTAGGAAATCCTATAAAATTAGAAAAAAAAAATAACAAAACAATCCTAAGCCTCCTTGCCATCATGTACATTGCATAATTTATATGGAATTCTTGCAAACTATAAATAATAGTTGTTCTCATAAATATTTTTTATTTGACATGGAATCCTTATAAAATAGGTAAGCCAATAGTTGCCACACATATTTCAAAAAGCATTAAGTAATCCTTGTATTGACTGCATTCTATAATATACAAGGAAATAATGTTTCTTTAATTTTTGCTCATTCCTAACAAATTATAATCTTAACTTTAAACACGTCATTCATTCTTATCTAGATAAAGTAATGGGTTTATCATGTATCACTAGAAAGGTATGGATGTCCAATCCAATTAGAATAGCAACATAATTCCTTCTATAGATTTAGATATAATCTAATAGTAGATAAAGGTCTGGACAAACAAATTTGACAAAATTTATCTAATAACTTTTACCCTTTAAAATATTTCTTTTCCAAACTTCTATTGACTTGAAATTTCAACCCAATATATAAAAGCATGTCCAGAAAGTCCTATGAAAATCTCAGCTAGATTCGTTGCTCAAGTTGAAAATTATACTAAATTGAGTAAAAATGAACAATAAAAAAGTTTGTGCTAAAACCCAAAATCTAACCTTACTTATATCATATCATAACCCTGCAATTAGGAAGTCCAAACTTACCATCAGGAAGGAAATGTATCAACAATGTAAATAGGATACACAAAGAATTCATCACTGCAATTAAGAAACTAAACCCTAATATTAGGAAATGAAGATTTAACTCCAATGTTAGGAATTCTCAATTTTAACTTTGTAATAAAAAAGTCTAACTCTGCCATCAGGAAGGATATGTGTTAACCCTGTAATTAGAAAACACCAAGAAATCAACCCTATAATCAGGAAGTCCAACCCTACCATTAGGAAGGACATGTGTCAACCCTAAAATTAAGAAGTGCTAATAAATTAACCATATCTTCAGGAATCTCTATTTTTCAACCTTGTCATTAGAAAGCATCAACTTTAATCCTATGATCATAAAGAAAAGACTAACCTTGCCATCAAAAAGTTTCAGACTCAACCATGCAATTAGAACACCATCAATCAAGTCTCATAGCCAAGTAAGCCATTTCTAAACTATGAGGTAAGTCACTTGAAAACAAAGAATTCATGAAAAATATTAGATGTTTTTCACATAACGAACAGGTTATCCCACCATAAACCATGGGCAAGTCATCTGATTAAAGACCACGAGCATTTTATTAAATCATAAAGCATATGCAGGTCATCCAATTATAGACCAGATGCAAGTTACTTAATTATAAATCACTAGTAGGTCACTTGATTAGAGATCACATGTGAAACCCTGAAAAATAAGTGATTATAATAAATAGTTAAAAAAATAAAAATAAAAATAAAATGAGAAAATTTGGATTTTTGGTGAATAAATAAATAAATAAAATCACT